AATATAATGATGAATAGAGTGTCGAATTCGTGAATGCTCATTATCTACTTATTTTACTTCAATTAGAATTCGTTATAATATTGCATAACACACCATTAATGGTTTTGATATTGCTTTTAACCGTATCTAATTATCTACTAAAATAAGCAAACAAATTCTTGGAATTTAATCAAGTCATGAAAGGAACTAATACCGAATTCGCCATTTTAAACATATTTTACTCCTTAACTACACCTTAATCGAGGCATAACATGTTCAAACACTAGTTAACCCTAAAACATCTTATTAATGCAAATGTTGATGCATTGATGCATAATTAAGATATTGAATCATCTAATATAAGTAAGTTTTGGTGGTTCAACCTAGTGTAATACATATTGGTCTATGTTTAAGTGATTTACTTGTTTCTATGTGATTTGAATACTCAATACTTTGTGAAATAATTGGATACCCGTGTGGTATGGGATACTTGCTATGTGGCATCAAGTTTTGAATAATGTGTGGTGTTGAACCTGTGTGACAAGTCATATGGTGATCTCGAAAAGTGCGATATTACTCTATATATCAAGAATATGTCCTAACATGTAGCATGATATTATATGACGTGTCATATGTTGATTTGCGGAACTATCTATGATGCAATTAAAACATACTTAATTGTCGGGTCGAATACTATTATAGACTTGCATGTGCTATATCTTGTGCACATCGTATATGATACTATATGTTAGGTTTTTAATATAATTGGCAAATCTGTGAACAAAAATGACTAGATTTAATGTGTTGTAAAAGTCAAGGAGTAAGTTGCAAATATTGTTAATTGACTTGTATTAGGTTTAGGATTCAAGAATTGAAAGAATGAAAAAACGGCGCCACAATTTCCCTAGATTGTCGTCATGACTTTGCTCGAGCTTAAGAAACAGAAACAATGTCGCTAGCCTGTCGCATTGTCTTTGCTCGAGCGACACATTGTAGCTCGCATGTCGCCTAACTTTCGCTCAAGTGACAGTGTTTTCTGAAAAATTTTAATTCTCATTTTAAGGTTTTTTGTCCGACCAATTCAATTCTAAACCTAAACTATAAATACTAGCAAGGCCTCTGAATGGTTTTTTCAAATTTGATCATTGAGAAAATACTTACTACTTCATATCCTTTTCGTCAAACAAGCTTTCAACTTTCATGTTTTGATTTGTTATTGGCATTGAAAATATTAAACCCATAATCCAAATACCAAATTGCTCGCAATCCAGGAGAGTTTTGAAAACTATAGCTGAGAGTTGGTGTAGGAGCACGCACCCCAGGAGGGTCATGAGAATTGTAATCAGGAGGTTAAAAAGTACTAGTGGTAGTCGTGTCTTGCGGATTGTAAGTTCATAATTCGTTTATAGTGGATTGTTGACTGACAAAGTGTCTGATGTTTTTACCCAATTTGGATTTCTCTGTGATCATTCTGGTTGTTTATTTATTGCTTTCATATAACTGCATCAATTCAACTTAGGAAATTGACTTAATTAATTAACAATCTAGAGATAATTAACAGTTACTTGTTGCTAGTTAATTATTAATTTTTTTAATTCCGCATAATCACCTATTCATCCCCACTTTAGGTGTAATTTTAGTCGCATCTCGTAATTTTACTATATAATGGTTATATATGATTGACTAGTTGACAGTACTGTCATCTATTTGAGGCTCTTCACACGTATCATACATGATCTTGTGTATTGTTATGTATAATTTGCCAATCCTGTTTGGAGGTTCAATATAAAATTGAGGAGTTAATAGATTAAAGTATGTTGAGATTGCATTTATACCATCTTGCTAACATTGTATTAGATTATCTTTTGCATTATAATAGGGTATATTATTAAATGATGATGGAAACGCTCGAATGATCTGATTGAGATACGCTAAATCATGTTGGTAACTACTTTGCGGGTTATTAAATTGATTTTGCTGTATAACTATATAAATATTATTGTGTTTGGGGGTTTAGGTTTTGAAGTTCAATACACTTATAGCTTATGTAAAACTCCCAAGTCACATCTTGAGTAAGTTTCATACGAACTCTGCTCTATTTTTATATGAATTAAGTTAGTTGTACATTACGAATGACATTGTATGATGTGTGAAAAATTGTGCCATTGATTTGAACATGTGTTGTTAAAAATTAATGGCAGAAAGGGTTGTCACGTCAAATAATGTCATTCATAATATCAAATTTAATGTACTTGTAGCAAAATTGTTTTAATATCTTTTTAAAACAAAGGAAGTTCAAATACAAGCACAAAATAATAATAATAATAATAAAATAAAATAAAATAATAATAATAATAATAATATGCGATGATGATACAAATAGTGCTCATGTTGGTATAAATTCTTATTTCTATTTCTTTTCGTGCTTTACATATGGGGTATTTTTAAGAATGTCCACAATTAAGGGTGTGAGTTGAAAAGTGTCCAATTTTCAAATTTAATACTAAAGTGTCTATTATGCCCTTAATGAAAAAAAAAAAAGGACATTTGAATCTCTACGTATTCTTGACATTTAAAATGTTATTCTCGACATTTGAATCCCGTTTTATATTTCAATAGTACACACGTCAAATCACAATATTAAATGTTCTCGACATTTCAAAACGTCATTCTCGACATATTAAATGTCTAGAAGGACATTTCATTTCAAACATGACATTTCTCTACACTTGAAATGTCGTTCTCGACATTTATGTGTTAATGCAAAAAATAGCATTAATTGTGATTTGACATCTTGTCATTTGCAATAAATGGAGCAGGTTATGTGTCAAGATTTCATTAGCCCATATTTTTTTTGTAAAAATGTCCATTTTATTGTCCTTGAATGGAATTATAAATTGTTGACTATGTGTATTTTGGTCTAAAATATATCAAAATGACCATTTTTGCAAGAATTTTTGAAAATTGTCATTTTTGCAAGTGGTTAGAAGAAAGTGGACAATTCTTGCAACTTCCACTTTACATATTTAAGATGAGTCACATCATTCTAGGTGCTATCATAGTTCCCATGCATATTAAAATATGTTCCAGACAATTGTTTTCTCACATCAACTCATTTGAGATTTGTATTGAACCACCCTCATCAAGGTACAATGAAATATCCTGAATAGTTTGATATGAAGTATTGACAAGTTGAAATGACTAATCTTCCCTCAATCTAAATTGGAAGATTCTCCGAGTACAAGATGTTTTTCGCAGAATTTTTTCAGGTGTTGTTGATTCATGATTGAAGACAATTGTTTTTCTTGTTTTTTTAGTCATCTGCCAATGAATCAGTGTCACGTGGAATCTTATAAAAATTATGTGAAAATTTCATTTTATCTATTGCATTACTCATCTAAATTTGCTATACTATTTAGCTGTGTTTGGTGGGGATTAAAATCAAATTTTTTAGAGATTTTGATAAATGTTAATAAAATGTGAAATTGAAAAGTTATAGATTTTATAAAATGTGTGATTAAAATTAATTATTCACGTTAATTTAGATTAAAATCTAAGTCTCTGTATGGTTTGAATTAAAATTCAATTAAAATTTCAAGTCAAAGTCAATAATTAATTTTAACCACACATTTTATGAGACCCACAACTTTTCAATAACACATTTCATCAACTTTTATCAAAATTTATTAAAAATCTTTTTTTAATCTCTACGAAACAGGGGCTAAATTTTAGTTTCTACCAGATAGGGGCTTACTAAGCTCAAAGCACATCTAAAACCTTCTCCAAATTGTATTTTTTTTTTTCTTTTTTCTCGTTCATAAACTTAGAACATCTAGATTTAATATGATATTTGGTCCCTATTTGGTATGGATTAAAATCTAAAATGTAATTTAAGTTAAAATCAACAATTAATTTTAATCATATATTTCATAGGTATCACAACATTTCAATTACACATTTCATCAATTTTTATTAAAATTTACTTTAAAAAACCCCATTTTAATTCCCACCAACCAGGGGCTTAATACCCCCACTGAAAACATGCAGGAACTATATAAATATACCTGAACTCTATATTCTCCTTACATTTTTCTACTTTGAAGATAATGGCATTTGTTTGGACAAAGTTTGCCAATAATTATTCTTATGAAAACTTTAGCAACAAAAGTCGATGTCTCTCTCATGTTAACTAACATGTCTTTTTTGATAATTCAAGGCGTAATAAATTTTCTTGATATTACTCCCTACTTAAAGAAAAATGACAATCAGTAATATTAAGCTCCTGTTTGTCGTAAATTAAAATCAGATTTTTAGTAGGTTTTGATAAAGTTGATGAAATGTGTGGTTGAAAAGTTGTGGATCCCATGAAATGTACGGTTAAAATTAATTGTTGACTTTAACTTGAGATTAAAATCAGATTTTAATAACATGGACTAAATTCTTACCTAAGAATACTCGGTAAGAATCGTCAATTTAGGCCACAAAAGATTTAAATATATTTGAATTGATGGGAAGTCAATAAGTAAAGTCCTATAATTCTTATGTTCCTAAAAGTCTCATTCCCTAATAAATTTATAAAAGATATTAATTAGGTGATATTGCATGTAAATAAATCCGAAAATCTCGTTTACATAATGAAATAATTTTAAATGAATTTTTGGCCAAGTTAGTCCAATTGACTGATATGTTCAAATGTGCACACGAAATCACTGAAATATTACATTCAAAATGTATTTCGTACATAATTAATGGGTAATAAATTTTAGTTCTTATAACGTGTGAATAAAAAGTATGTTTGACCAACTTTAATAAAAAAATTTAAACTTTGCCACACACTTACAACAAGTATTGATTTCCTTACCATAAGAAAATCTTGGACAAACCTTGTCTCTTTATAACACACAACTCTCTCTCTCTCTCTCTCTCTCTCTCTCTCTCTCTCTAATATATAGACACACACACACAAGCAATGTTCATCATTTTTTTCCTTGGGGCTAAAAATTCCTTAAAGAAACTCTGAAATGAAGAAATGCATGGTATTACTCGTTCTCGGCCTTGCATCATACGTAACATTCATTTCAATAATTAAACAGAATGATTTTGACAGCAAAAGCTACGATGTTCGCATCATCAATGGTTTCAGCAACAACTCATCCTTGCCACTGGTCATCTGGTGCGAGTCGGAATATAGCGGGGATATGGGTGGGCGGGCGCTGCAGGAGCACGATGACTTCAGCTGGACTGTCAAATCCGGCTTATGGAAAACCCCATTGTTTTTCTGTACCATTAAATGGGATGGAAAAAGGAAAAAATTTGAAGCATTTCGAGTAACCCGTGACAGATATAGGTGTGAAAAATACAGGCAATGCTTTTGGCTGGTGAAAGAAGATGGTTTTTACTTCAGTGATGATGAAGTAGCTTGGAAAAAGGATTTTTCATGGATGTGATGAGCGTAAATGGAACTGTTTTATTTTGTTAACCATGGAATAAGTTTGAAGCATCGAAATTTAGATGTTTAGGATATGGAGAATAGATATGGGTGGGCGGGCGCTGCAGGAGCACGATGACTTCAGCTGGACTGTCAAATCCGGCTTATGGAAAACCCCATTGTTTTTCTGTACCATTAAATGGGATGGAAAAAGGAAAAAATTTGAAGCATTTCGGGTAACCCGTGACAGATATAGGTGTGAAAAATACAGGCAATGCTTTTGGCTGGTGAAAGAAGATGGTTTTTACTTCAGTGATGATGAAATAGCTTGGAAAAAGGATTTTTCATGGATGTGATGAGCTTAAATGGAACTGTTTTATTTTGTTAACCATGGAATAAGTTTGAAGCATTTTAATAGATTGTAAATGCCTCGAAATTTAGATGTTTAGGATATGGAGAATTTAACGATATTCATATGTTTAGCACGTTGAAATAGATATGACGATTATTACATTAAATTTAAATAGTTTGGTTAATCTAATTTGATATTATGTAATTTAACGTATCAAATGCATCCGTTGACGACAAAAAACTTGCCTAACTTGTACGTGACCGAAGGTCATACCTTGGCTAACTTGGCATTGAATAATTATGTCAAAGGGATTGGATCAATTGAAATTGTTCATATAACGAGAAATTGTACACACAAAAATAAACAATGCAAGACTTTTCATGCAGTTGTTTCTGTTGTCATTGAACTGACGATCACAAAAAACTAAAAATTGGCTATCTCTCTCTCTCTCTCTCTCTCTCTCTCTCTCTCTCTCTCTCTCTCTCTCTCTATATATATATATATATATATATATATATAGATGCTTCGAGTAGTGACTTGATTGTCGGAGTGCAAACAGTAGTCGAATTTTTTTCCTCTGGCCGGTGACTTTTGCCTCCTAATGATGTGTTTAATGTGTAGGTTGAAGAGGAGATGGTCGGAGTGTTGTTGGCCACTTGATTGACGGATTTTGAGGCTAACGGCATCCTTAAAGCTTCCAATAAAACAAAGCCGAAAGACAACACATAATTTACATCATCTTTTTGCTAAATCATATTATTGACCATTGCTTTGCTAGGACTAGTAATGTTTTACTATGTCTTAAAATGCTTTTGCAAGTTGGCAAACATGATTTTTCGATATGCAAGAGAGCCACTTTATGGTTTAGTCCTTTTCATTCACATGGTGTTCCAACTTCCCCCTTAGCCACGGGCTAGGAGAGTATGGGTGGGGTAGGAATGAAGAGTGACATATTTTTATCATATTCATCTTTTTCTTCGATTTTACTTTACATTTGTTTTAATCGTAGATAGAAGAATAGTCATTATTCAATAAAAATAATCAATCAAGTATCAATAACGTGACTTTACATTGCCGGTTTAGAAGCAATTCGTTCTTTATAAACTAAAAAATTGAAAATAAAAGTATAGTTGTTATATGACTAAAATACTTGATAAGTATAAATCTACGCTGCTGGTTTAGAAGCAATTCATTCTTTAGAGACCACTTATTGCAAAAATTTAAAGATTAAATATTCAATTGTCAAGAAAAATGAATGGACACTTTATTGTTTATTTTGTATGAATTGTAGATTGTAACAATCTTCCATTACAAAAAGTCTTGTTTAATTATGAGAATTTAATATGCCAAATATTTCTTTAAGAAAATTGCTTGAAGTTAGTCTTCAACGGATAAACATAATTGACTCTCACAGTTGGATTACTAGAATGAGATTTAGAGGGTGTTTGGTATGAATTAAAATTAGATTTTTAGTAGATTTTGATAGAAGTTTTTGAAATATATGGTTGAAAAGTTGTGGGACCCATGAAAGATGTGGTTAATATTAATTATTTGACTTGGATTAAAATCAGATTTTAATCCGAACCAATCATGGGCTTAGTGAATAAACATAAATTTATTTCTTTATTTCNCATGGGCTTAGTGAATAAACATAAATTTATTTCTTTATTTCTATCAATTTAACAATAATTTCAAGCTAAAAAGTTCATATGTATTACTTAATTAGACAACAATGTAGAGGAGGGAAAATAAATATATGTCCCTTGTCACATACGATCCCTTACATGGGTGAAGAAAAATGAACAAGGAAATCCTTGTCTTATCATGGAAACATTCTTCGAAAATAAATTTGTTGAATATGTAGAATTTAATTATACTACACCTTTTTTTATATGTGAATCGACATAATATCTGAAAAATATGTAATTGAATTTGACGATGGAGCTAAGAGTGTACTAAAATATTTTTTTGACTAGGCTAATATATATAAATTCCATATATAATAGAAAAAAATTCATACTCTCAGTGATTATTGATGCAGACATGTTCGTGATTACCGACAATTATTGATGCAGATATGTCAATGATGTCCCCGTAACATGTCACAAAGTTCATTTATTTTTGAAACAATTAATTAGTGGAGGGCTCCCCATTTTAAAAGTTATTCTATTAAGTTCTAATAGTTGGTATGATTTGATAAACAAAATACATGCTTATTTAAAAGAAGTAATTATCCAGTGATCCTCACAATAGGCAAGTGTATTTTGTTTGATCTAATTTATTAATTATATAGGCAAGGAAACATTTGGTATTGAGTCAAACTGTTGTTGCATAAGTTTTAAACTGTTTGAAAAGAAAGAGATGTGAATAAGAAAATTTCTTCATTTTCCAAAGGAAAAAAAAGGAATAAAAATAAATATTATTGTGCCATTTAATGTAAAAGGCCTTTTGGAAATGGTCGTCTTTTCATTTGGAAAGATTTACAACCAAGAGTTGTATTTCATATTTTTGTTCATCTCTCATGTCTTTTCATCACAATTCTCACTCTTTTATGGAAAATTGTAACTCTTTGTAGAGCCACGATCTTTGGATTTAATTTTGTTTATCATTTTAATTGTAATGTATTTTTATTAGAGTAGAAAAATATGATATCGCACTGACCTAGTTAAGCTAATTTAAATCACCAGATAAAAAATTCTTATAATTAATTCATCTTCCTCGATCTATCGTCTAATCGTACCATCGAGTCTAATACATAACTAAAATTACGAACATACACAATTTTTTAAGGAACAAAGAATACGGAGTCTACAAGAGATATATTACTCCCTATTTGCATGTGTGGGATTCTTGTATTTCAACCATAGCTTTGAACAATAATAATCAAATATTTAAAAAAAAATATCCCGCAATACTGTTACAAAATCACGTGAAAGAAATATTTAGGATAAGTAGCATACAAATATTCCTAATTAGATGACGAAATCCATTGAAATTCTCTTTACCTTCAAGAATTTCGAACTTAATATGGATTGGGATTCATCCAAATACGGATGAAAAAATATTCACGAAAGTATAAAGATTAAAGACTGTCAAAAATTCTTAAAATTTCAATATTTTTCATCAGCATATAAAATTTAATTGCACATTACATAACATGTTTTTTTTTTTTTTTTCCTATTTACATTTATTTGTAATTGTTTGCACTTAAAGTAATGGAGCATAAAGAAAACTAGAAACATCTTTTAAAAGTGAAAATCTATAACTTTGAAAACCCACTTTTTTTCGGGAATAGACGTAATTAAGTTTCATTAGTTATGAGCAAATTGGGATAGGACTGTCTCAATCTGGCTACAAATTGTAGAAATATAATTAGTCTACAATGTAGACAACTTAACCAAGAAATATGCATATACATAAAATCTCCTCTATATTATGCTAATCAATTATACATTAATCTTTGGCAAGTATAAAAGGAGACATCCCACAAAGAACAATCCACAATCAGATAATACACATCAAAAAGCAAATAAAATGACATCCAAATTCTGCTTTTTTCTTCTGGTTTTGTTTCTATTCCTGAAATTCTACACATTATCATTTGCTCAACCCTACCAGTTATGAAAATTACCAGTGCACTCCCAGTGGTGGACCCAGTACAAAAG